AGGGCAGTGTAAGAGAAGATATAATAATTTATAAATTATTAAGGGTTCACGAGGGAGAGGGGAGCGGGGAGGGAGGGGAAAAAGGAAAATGAGGAGCTAATTCCAGGAACCCAAGAGGAAAGTGAATTTTGAGAATGACGAGGGCAACAAATGTGTAAGTGTGCTTTACACAACTGATGTATGTATGGATTGCGATGAATTGTATGAGCCCCAATAAAATGGTTAAAAAAAAGAGTTACAGCCTTGGAAATCCACATGGGGCAGTTCTATTCTGCCCAAAGGGTTGCTATGAGCCAAGTACAACTTAATGGCAGTGACCATGGAGCAGCAGGTGAGGAAACTGTGTTACAGAGAAGTGAAGTATAAACAAAACCAGAGGTTTTAAACCCAGGCCTGATAGAGTCTAGAGACAAAAGTTTTCCACCAATGCAAACATTCTGTTTTATTGCCTCCTATAGGGTGTTGCAAAGTTTGCACTTAATAACTAAGCTAAAAGTTATCTGCTTCTGTAAAGATGATAGCCAAGAAAACTCCACACGAGGTTGCTTTGAGTTGGGATGTACTATTTGGCAACTGGTTAGGTTTTCCATTTCCTGAGCAGGGTATCTTTTTTACCTTGACCTCTTGAACTTTACTTTAAAAAATAATTTCACAATAAAGAATAGATATTCAGTATACGAAAGAATTTAATGCGATTTATCCCTTTAAAAACTCTTCTAACTCAGGTGTACTTGTCCTGAAGAACTGTATAATTTATTCAAATAACCCAGGCTGTTGAAATCTATGTTCCAACTGAAAAACTGCCCATTGCCCCTAGGAGGGTGAATTTTAAAAAATTGTACTATTTCCCATGACTGACATTTATTTGACTCTAAAGTATATTTACGTTGTTGTGTAACTGAGAGTCCTTTGCTGAATCAATACCTTTCTATATTTCTCAGTTCGAGTGCTGTCATTATTTTTGCTATTCTGTCTTTTTCTCTTTCCCCCCTCGCCCCCTTTTCCTTGAATCCCTGCAGTTACAAACTTTTTTCTCTGACTTGTGCAAATTTTTACTCCTAGAATTATGGAGGAAGAGGGTAAATGTTCTTTTAATCTTCTGGGAAATGTGTGACTCTTTAAACTTTATTTACGTCAGCACTTACTGAACTGAAGGACAGAAACGCTAGACAAGGTCCCATGCTCCTCGCGGGTGTTCAAGGCTAGGTCTCCCGGAGGCGAGTCTGTAGTTTATTCTTGAAAGTTTATAGCTCACCTCCTGGCTGTTTCTTTGCAAGGGGCGTGAGAGGGGGCTAGAAATAGAGCAGGGTGGGAATCTGACCTATCGTGACCATTCAGAAGACTCTGGCCTGGAAAATTCCCCTTTATGTGGCAAAAACAAACATTTGAAATGGAGGGAGTAACCAGGCTTAAACAAAGAGGAAAACCAGTCCCCGTTTCAATCCTCCTGCCTCTAACCATATGTGCCTGCTTATTTATTTCCTACACATCAGTTTTCCATCATTTAGACAGTCTCAACCTGCCCAGATCATAGGGGACAAATCTTTTGAGATTTGGTACAACAATGCATATGCGTATTTGTACGTTTTTCTCTGCGCTTAAACTCAGTGTAGTAAAGGAAGCACTTTGGAGGCTATTGTGTTTGTCCCTCCCCCTCCCCCCAGGCAATTGTGACTTGTACCTCCGGTCCCCATCAGTCTGTGTGCTGCAGGACTGACTGCAAGACAAATGGACCAACAGACAAATGTCAAAAGCCATCTGCTTTTTCTCTTGCCACTTGTCACGTTGTCCTGTGCCGCCCATCCTTGCTTTTCCTTCATCGCTCTCCTGTGGTTGAGCTGGTTGCTGAGGTCTCTGATGACTTCCTTCCTTTGAACCTGCTCTACCTTCCGTGCAACTGTGCAGAGGTGTGCTCTTGGTGCTCATCTGAAAAATACAACCCATTCAAAAGAATTATTGGCCCATAGAATCTTCCAGAAAATTTGGACTTTCTGTATAAACTTTAGTGAATGACCTAGTGACTTGCTTTTCCTTCTTATGGTCTCAATTTAGAGGATAAAATTAAGAAAAAAAATTTCTCCCAGCATAATAACCCATGGACCTTAAAAACACACACCTCTTTAGTGCTTTTGTAAATGCTCATAAGTGGTTATCAGTAACTTCTGGTACATAGCAGATGTTTTCTTTTGGCCAGGGCAAAGGGCAAGAAGAGTAAGGGACCAGCTACTGTTTTCCCTTGTCTTCTAAAGGTTCACAGCATGGACTCTAATGTTAGATTGCCTTGTTTTAACTCTAAAGCCCGTCCTCTTCAACAAATATATTTGAATGCTTGGAGCCTCCGTGTCTCCTAATCTGTAAAATGGGTACAGCATCAATTTGCTTATGCATGACTTTGAGTATTTACAATTCTTTAGCTTATTTAAATGATATAGGGAATTGGCGCACCCCTGCCCCTCCCTTTGATTTCCAGTTGAGAAAATAGAGGCAAGTAACTTGGCCAAACCAAAGTAACAATGAATGAATGAATGAATGAATGATTGAGCTGAGTTTAAGAAGCCAGGCCATTAGATTTACTGTTGTGCTTATCATTAAGGTCTCTTGCCTTTCTATTAAGTACTGTAATTGAAAGTGATACACAGTGTTTGGCACATAGCATTTGCTAAGTGTTAACTAATATTATCACTACTATCACCATTTCTTATCTTTCTTCCTGTTGTGATCATTCTTTCTCCAGGATTGTTTGAGTAAGGCTGATTGCCCCTGCCCCCAACCGAGAAAACCAACAAACAAAAACACCCTGACTGCCCACCAACAAAACAAAAATCATGACCCAGGCCGGAGAGCCCCCTAACACTGCTTCACATTGTGCAGTTGATTTTTAAATGATAACCATGTAAAGAGACTTGCGGAAGGAGACCTAACATGTTAATATCTCTTTTCCAGCATGGGAAAATTATTTCCCTATCACCACCCCTACAACAACAAGCCAAGAAAAACTGTTTAAAGTAAGGGAGACTTTTTAGAAGTTGTATACTTCAAGTTGAAACTGTTATCACCCTTTAATAAAAAAGAGTGAGCATTTCAAAATGCAATGAAAGTTGTAAAAGATTTTGGTGAGCAAAAGACCCTGCTACCAGAATAAATTTCTTTGTTTCTACTCCTTAACCCATTTTAGAATGCTAATATCAGGAGAAAGAAAGAGCAGATTCTGCAAGAATTAGATTCCTCTTTTAAAGCAAGCCACTGACTTCAAAATTCTCTAGCACATTTGTGCAAAATTTATTTTTTTGTTTGAGATTTATTTGAATGAGCTGTTATGATTGGAGACAGTGAGAATTTCAGATTAATGTTTTGCAGCCAAAAAAAAAAAAAAGAAAGGGAGAAAAAAAAAACGCTGGAAAGCTGGCAAGTGTTCATAAGTCAGTCCTAGAATTATGTAGGTTGAAGGCTCCCAGTGGACAGACCGAACATATAAGAAGGAAACCAGAGATCTGGTGCTATTACGTCTCCGCGTCCAAGGGAACAAATAAGCACAGAATTAAAAGCATTCTTCAGCTTGAATTCTTAAGGTACGCTAAGTCCGAATCCTTTATAGATACTCTAGTTGAGAAAGTAGAACATATATTAAACGAAAATATTTTTTAATGGATGAACTTTCCCTTTTTCTTGTCTTTTAACACAGTGTTTTGCAAAAATCCTAGATGCTTTAACTTGCTGTTTCTTTTCCAGGGGTGCGTTTCGGAAGGAGGCAAGCTGATTTATGATAACTAAGTCTTAAACTTCAGCAACCAGTAAGTCTCCAAATGTTATTTATTTTCAATTCCTTTATGTTAATTGTTAAGTTAAGGAAATCATCAAAGAAAGAGCTGTCGACAGTAATGATATTTGTGCTGTTTATTGGGCGACTTTTTGGTGATTGCATTTTTAATTGGGGGATTTTTGTATATAGTTTGAGACTACAGTAATAGTCTTCCTCTTTATGTGATACCTGTAGTTAATTTTCTTTTCATTGTTTTCAAATATTGCTGCTAGTTAAACACTTAAAAAGGATAAAAAAATGAATATCACAAATACTCGAAGTTTGAGAATATCACTTGACAGCAATTGACGATATAATCCTGTTAAACAGCAAAGTGTAAATGATAGAACTATATCATGATTAATAATTGGTGTTGAATTTTTTATTTCATTGAGCAATCAGCGCTATTTCTATTTGGCTCTAAAACTGATTTGGTTGTTTTGTCGTGTTGTTTTCACAAATTTCATTGCAAATGGACTATGTTTTTCATTTAACATACTAAGCTTAAACATATACATTAAAAATAATATTCTTTATTAAAATAAAGCCAGAAATATGTATATATTCCATAACTTCCTCTCAATAATGACTCCTCATCCAATAGATTTATTTTTGCATATTCTTATTCAGTCTTTTGTATGCTCTCTTATATTTTCTATAGCTTATATTACTTATATTTTCCATAGCTGTAATAATTTGTATATAATTAGTTACTTGAATACGGCATCTCTCTATGCTTTACTAGGTAGCTCTGTGGTTTCTAGAAAGTGTACAGATGCAGATATGTGCTCAAGTGTTTTTGAAATATTAACTTTTCTTATTTCTGAGTCTTTATTTGTTTGACACCTTTCCTACCCTGAATAACCTTTGAGAATGTTGATTTTCTTTAAACCTGTGCAAAGTATGGTAGACCAAATGGGCAAAGGGTAGTTTTGTTCAGAATTTTCAGTCCGTGAGTCTGAAAGATCTTACTTCGTACTACCATTGAGAAAATTGCCTTTTCTTCTCCAAGAGATGAAATCCATTTGTTCTCTCTCATACGGTTCTCTGTCATCACACACTTTTCTTTTGTTTTTCCCAACGAAGTGTCAAAATGCTCATGATTCAGTCATGTCCCGAGCTCTGTATGTGGTCTAAGAATTCCTTTCTCTCCCTCTCTCCCAGAAGTCGTAATCCGAATTGGGGCTGCTGACATTTCAATATGAAGGCCAACTACACCCAGGAGAGCACGTCCGGCAGGCTTCACTCTGGAACCGATGCATTCACCTTTAACTGCTCGCAGAAGCAAGCAGATAAGCATTTAGAGGCGATACCTGTCCTCTACTACATTATCTTTGCGATTGGATTTCTTGTCAATATTGTCGTGGTTACACTGTTTTGTTGTCAAAAGGGTCCTAAAAAGGTTTCTAGCATTTACATCTTTAACCTGGCTGTGGCTGACTTGCTCCTTCTGGCGACTCTCCCTCTCTGGGCAACCTACTATTCTTACAAATATGACTGGCTCTTTGGACCTGTGATGTGCAAAGTCTCTGGTTCTTTTCTGACCCTGAACATGTTTGCCAGCATTTTTTTTATCACCTGCATGAGCGTTGATAGGTACCAGTCGGTTATCTATCCCTTTCTGTCTCAGCGGAGAAATCCCTGGCAAGCATCTTATGTAGTGCCCCTTGTTTGGTGTATGGCTTGTTTGTCCTCGTTGCCAACGTTTTATTTCCGAGATGTCAGAACCATTGAATATTTAGGAGTGAATGCTTGCATTATGGCTTTCCCACCTGAGAAATATGCTCAGTGGTCAGCTGGGATTGCTTTAATGAAAAATATTCTTGGTTTTATTATCCCTTTAATATTCATAGCCACATGCTATTTCGGAATCAGAAGACACTTACTGAAGTCCAACAGCTATGGGAAGAACCGAATCACCCGTGACCAGGTCCTGAAGATGGCAGCTGCCGTGGTGCTGGCCTTCATCATTTGCTGGCTTCCCTTCCATGTGCTGACCTTCCTGGATGCTCTGGCCTGGCTGGGTGTCATTCATAACTGTGAAGTTACAGCGGTCATTGACCTGGCACTTCCTTTTGCCAGCCTCCTGGGATTCACCAACAGCTGCATTAATCCTTTCCTGTATTGTTTTGTTGGAAACCGGTTCCAACAGAAGCTCCGCCGGGTGTTTAGGGTTCCAATGACTTGGCTGCGAGGCAAGAGAGAGTCTGTTTCTTGCCGCAAAAGCAGCTCCCTTAGAGAAATGGAGACATTTGTGTCTTAAGCATGAGAATGGAATGCCTGTTATCAGCATGGCTATTTGATTTGACATCCACCTGAATTATCTTTAAATAATTCTAGGCCTATAATGACTTGTTTTTGCCTCTCTCTCTAATCTTGTCTCACTCTTCCAGGGCAGGAAGCCAAATGTTAAATACATGATTTTTCCTCCGGTGACTTTCTGAAAGTGCCTATTGTTTTTCTGGCATGTGGGTGCAAAACTGTCATTGGTGATCCATATCCATAATCGAGAGGTAACTGGAGATCTGTCTCCAATTCTAATGAATGATGCATTAGAAATGGTAATTTGGGATTTCAGATTTCTCCTGGAGAAGTACTGGAGTTTCTTAGTGGGTTTCAGTACTCTTATTCGTATGGATTTTCCCCTTGAACCAAAGCCAGTCTTTAAACAGATTGCATTTTTTGCAGGAGATTCTGCTGAGAGATGGGCACTTCTAAGTATATCACAATAGATTGATGCTAGATTATCCAAGATCTAGGCACATGCCTCCTACATTTGAAAACCATTATAAATGATATTCCTTTTACATTTCATTTAAACATAGTTTATATTTAAGCTATAACTACATATTAAGTAGGGCTAGGAATATAGATTAAATCACATTTAATCTTACATTTTGATTGAAGAGAATATATAGTTATATATAATCCCACTTAAAAATTTGAAAGTTTGTATTTTCTCTAATCGCTTTTCAAAATAGTAAACACTGTGTATTGTTATCATTATAAAGGTCACTTTTTATAGCCTTGTCCTTTTGAATATGGTGCTTTGATACATAAACACCTTAGTGATTTTTATAGCTCTTTAATTTGTAATATAAATCTTAACTAGCATTGAAAAAGTCTATTCTGAATGGAATTTTGATATTCAGAGTGTCCAAAGTGACCCAGCAAATGACAAGTGTGGTGTCAAGCAAGGTATCTGCTTGCCAAAGCCTGAAACTATGGCTTGGAAAATACAGATCATGAGGAAGTCTTAACCTATATCTATGGATAATGTTTGTTTCAAAATTGATAGCATTCTGATGATAGAACTATTTTAAACCTGCTACTGCTCCATAGATACTGTTTTCAGTAATATTAGAACTCCTGAGGTAGAGGAATAGCTGAAACTACCTGAATTGCATATGGTCAGAGACTTCGTTTTGCACCTGCTCCATTTTACACCAGGTTACCGACAATCTTCCCAGATAAATACTGACCCCGGAGGTCAAACTAAAGGTCCGGAGGCTCAACATCTCCGCTTTATCCCAGGGCTATAGGTTGTAGACTTCTCTCCTACCACTTTATGGTAAAGGTCTAATTTCATGTTATCATATTACTTTATATAAAATCAAGTAGTTAACTATGTAATCAACTGCTAATTCATGTCTTAAATGATTTTATAAGCTGTTTCACAAATAAAATCTTTAATAAAAAATCTTTAATCAGAAGGTTTTGTGCGTTTATTTTTGTATTTTCATGGCCTTTAAGTGTAGACTTGAGACTTTTACCTTCCTTGTATCCGCCTTTCATTCCTCTCTGCTCTCCCTTAGCTTCAACTCTATAACCCATCTTCCTCACCTCCTGTCTTATCATACTTTTCTAGTCTCACTTCTTGATTCTTTAGCACCACTTTTTCATTGCCTGTGAAAGGAAAGCTGATATTTCTCATCGTGATCTACAACACCTCAGGGAATCTGACCCTCACTAGGCTTTACACTTTTTGAGACCCATCTTTTAAGTCCTATGCTCAAATCTCTGTATTTTCTGTGATTTCCTCTTGCATGCACCTCACCTACACAATGCTTGGGGATTATTTATTAATAATCGTTGAGTTATTAATCACCACGGAGTTGACTCTGACTCATGGCAATCCTCACGTACAAGAACAAAATGTTGTATGCTCCTACACGATAGTCACAATTTTAATGATATTGGGGTTCATCGCTGCGCCCCCTGTATATTTTATGTGACTTTAAGCCCAGAGGTCTTACCTTCCAGCCCTCTACCAGAAAATATTCAGTTGTGATCCATGCCGGGTTTTTTGGCTAATTTTCAGAAGTATAAATTCTGACCTTTCTTCCTAGTCTGTCTTATTTAGAACCTGCTCATCATGGCTGATCCTGCCGGTGTTTCAAGTGCTAGTGGCAAAGCTCCCAGCATCACAGCAACATATAAGCCACCACAATATAACAAAATGACAAATGGATGGTGGTAATAATCATAGTAATAGCTAATATTAGGTGAACATTATATCCTAGGTTTTATACTTTGTACTTTAATGTGCATCATCTTTTTTTATTCTTATAATGATTGTAATACTTCCGTTTTACAAATATAGGAAATAATTCACAGTCCAAACCTGAAATCCCCTTGTCACCTAGTAGATTCCAACACATAGTGACCCTGTAGCACTGTAGGACAAAGTAGAACTGCACAATGGGGTTTTCAAGGTTTTAATATCTATGGGAAGGATCCTTAGTGATCCTGTGATCACATTAGGCTGCTAACTGGAAGGTTGGTAGCTCAAACCCACCAGCTGCTCCTTGGTAGAAAGATGAGGCTGCTCCTATAAAGAATTATGGCCTCAGAAGTCCTTCATAAGATCCTCTGATTCAAAATCACCTTAATGGCAGTGAGTGGGTTACTTTTTATGGAAGCAGACTGCCACATATTTCTCCTAGGGAACAGTTGATTGATTCTACCCACCAATCTTTCAATTAGCAGCTTAGCACTTAACTACTGTGCCACCAGGGTGCCAAGGCACAGCAAAATCCCTACTAATCCTTAAATTTGGCTCTGAGAGATGACCTGGTTATCCTAATTGTTATAATATTAAGCAGTATGCTTAATTATGGATCTTTGGCCATGAAGCAGGTACTTCAGAGTCTCACACTGGCCTTTCAACTTCCCACTACCTCTGCAAATCCCCAGGCTCACCAATATGCAATCTTCTGGGCAGGTATTGCATTTACACACTTACGTACATAGAGAGAAATTAATTTTAAACCAGACAATACTTTAGCTTATGTAGTAAATGATACTCACCTTGAGTATTATGCTCTTTTAAAGAATTGTCCATATGTGATCAAATTGACAACAGTAACACGCTAGGTGAGAAGGTTGGGGGCAGTGAGTCTATATGAATAGTGGTGGAACAACTGGAAAAGGAGAGGGGAGATTGGTTGCATACCTTGGTGAACATAGCCAATCCCATTGAGCTGTACATGTTGAAATGGTTGAAACTGAGTATGTTTTCCTGTGTATATTTTCAGCAAAATGAACTCACAAAGACCCCAAAACAGAGACAGAGAGAAAGACACACAGAGAGGAAGCACATGGATGATGGATGAGACTATTTCCTTTACAATCCACTGCCCATTTATTTTGCTCCATGCTGTACTGAAGTAGATGAAGTAATGTCTCTTTTATGGAGCTTTCTTTACCCCTTACAAAATGCAAGAGAGACACAGCAAATATTGCCTTTTCTTTTAAAAATCTTTTTATTGTGAATTAAGTGAAGATTTACAGAGCAGACCAATTTCCCATACACATTCTGACTCAACTTTGCAATCCCCCAATGGGCTATCACTTAACTTACTTCTTTTGTAGACCCCCACTGCCTTTAACTTTTATCAGCCTCCCCGTGTCTTCTCCTGCCTCTCTGTTTCCCCCCTAATCTCTCTCTTATTATGTATTGTCTTCTCCTTCACCCAAGTTCACACTTGGCTAGCCTCTGTCCCATGACTTCCCCTTCTATCACTAGGATGCCTCAAAGATGTGTCTTGTAGCAAACACTTCTTTTAATTTTTAAAATCGTTTTATTAGGGGCTCATACAACTCTTATCACCATACATACATACATCAATTGTGTCAAGCACATTTGCACATTCATTGCCTTCATCATTCTCAAAACATTTGCTCTCCACCCAAGCCCCTGGCATCGACTCATCATTTCCCCTCCCTCCCCACTCCCTCCTCCCTCATGAACCCTTGATAGTTTACAAATTATTATTTTGCCATATCTTGCATGTCTGACGTCTCCCTTCACCCACTTTTCTGTTGCCTGTCCCCCAGGGAGGAGGTAGATCCTTGTCATTGGTTCCCCCTTTCCAGCCCATCCTCCTGGTATCGCCACTCACACCACTGGTCCGGAAGGGATCATCTGCCCTGGATTCCCTGTGTTTCCAG